CGGAGACCGGCCTGGGACCCCGCGGGTCTCCGTCCCCCCGGAGATTGCACTTCCTGGCCGGCTTCGCCCTGCCCGTTCCTTAAAGCCCGTCCTGCATCAAGAACAAAAGGGCCATTTCACTAGGGCAGGCGGGGCGGGGGACTGCTTCTCCAGGAACCCCCAAGCAGCAGGCCTGCCTGCCCCAGCCCCAGGGAACCCTGCCTCTACTGCGGATGCCCTCCTCCCCACAGGGTCAGCCCACTCTCCTGCCTCAGTTTCCCAGTTGTGCCCTGAGGGTGCCCTGTGGCTTCACCCCAGGGCTCCAACCGTGCTCTGTCAGCTGCCTGCGCCCCACGTGGGTATGGGCTGGGGCGCACTGGCGGCCTCCAGAGCCCACAGGTGAGGGTGGGCACACAGCGCCACGTCCCCACTCCCATGGCCCATGACCATGCCCCCCAACGGCTCCCTAAATGCTGGTTCCCAGGGCCCCGCTGCCTGCTCTGGGACCCCCAACTCTGCTGGGTGTTAGGTTCTCAGAGCCCTTGTGGAACCTCCCAGCGGGCAGGAGGGCTGAGGGTGGGGTCCTGCCTCCAGAGAACACTCGAAGTCCAGCCGGCCCCCCAGAAGAAGCTCCTAGGGTCGTGGGGCCCCCTCTGGCTGCACTGCGAGCAGCCGGGCCCCTCCTGGTGGCGCCTGCTGTCCCTGTAGCTGCGGGTGACCACCCCATCACCTCCCCCTCCCCGTCCGCTGACCAGCCACCTGCAGGGGAGGGCTGATCCCCACGCCCCACCCCAGCTCCAGGGACGGCTTGGGCTGTGCTGACCAGCAGCAGGGCTCACCTGTCCAGGGGGGTGCGCGCACCTGTATGGGGGTTGCCGCCTCCCGAGACCAGACTGACCCACTGAGGGGCATTTGTTGATGCATCTTTTCCGGGTAGACGGAGGGCCGGCTGTGCTGTAGGGCGGGCTCCCTGCGGGGTCAGCCAGCAGGTGCTGGGCCTGGAGCCCTGAGGGCTCTGATGCTGCCAGGGGCAGTGGGGGGGGCCCTCTCCTCTCAGGGGCTCCCCTGGCCCCCTTTCGCTCATCTCTTGCCTGGGGTCTACAGCCCCGGGCACCTGCGCCCAGCTCACTGCTGCTCGGTGCAGGTGTGTGCAATGCAGGTGTGTGCAATGCAGGTGTGTGCAATGCAGGTGTGTGCAGTGCTCGGTGCAGGTGTGTGCAGTGTCCAGCGTGCCCCATGCACCTCGGAGCTGATGTCTACTGGGCGGGCCCAGGGCCGGCAGGAGCATCCAGGCATGCCCGAGGGGCAGTGCCTGCTGCCTCGACTCCAGTATGCTCATTCAAGGTCCCTCTGTGCACTCGGGGTTTCCCTTCCCAAGAACGAAAGGGCCTCCCTGGGGCGCAGGGGTGAGTGGCAGCGCTGCAAGCCGGCCACGGCCGCTGCAGCACAGCTCGAGCCCCGCCCGGGAGGGACCCACGGGCAGCAGACCCCGCCTGTCTGCGCGCTGCCCCTCAGCAGTGGTCTCAATGGATCCGCCTGTTCTGCTCCCTACTGTCGCTGGGGAGTCTTCTCACCCCGCACCTCAGGCAGGCCTGCCCCCCAGTTCTTGTGTTCATAAAAATAAATCTTAAAAAAAGCCACAAATAAAAATAGTAAAAGTAAAATTACCAAAGAGAACACACGTGAAGGGGAAGGGGGAGGGCGCGGGAGGGCGAGCAGGTGGTCTGCGCTGCGCTACCTGGGCCCCGATGCGGGGCTCCGTCTGCCTCACGCCGGGTTTAGGCTGCTGGCCCGGGACGCCGGCTTGGCCACGGCCCTGGGGGGTTCACGGGACCAGTGCAGCCCAGGCCGCGAGGCAGGCCCGGCCACCCCAATGTCCCTGGCCCACAGGGAGCCCAGCGAGGGCGCTGCCCCGCAAGGCGGCCCGGACCGAGGCCAGCTCCTGCGGACAGGTGGGCTGGCGCTGACCCCCGGGGCTGAGGACACTCAGCTCTCATGGGGTCGCCTGTGGGATCTCCTGCCGAGATGACTCCCCGGGGCCAGTCTCTGGGTGGCCAGCCTCCGCCAGGAGCCCCGGCCAGGGACCCCCGGTTCCACGCTGAGCTGACTCCCTGGGCCACCCTGGGCGGTGTCACACAGCAGCGGGTCGGGGCGGCCCGGGCCATGGGCGCCCATCACGGCAGCCCTGCCCCAGCCACCTGCAGCCACTGGCCCTGCACCCGGCCGGGCCCCAGCTCAGGTTCCTGGCGGGGTGCTCAGGGACACCAGAGGCCCCACAAACAGCACCACCCCAAAGAGCCCTGCACCATCCCCCACAGGTGGGTGCCGCCGTGTGTGGACACCTGGCCTTGGAGCCCCACCCCGTGCCTCGGGCACTGCCAGGAGGACCCGGGGCCCCAGCCCGTGGGGGCTCTCTGCGGGGCTGGCCAGCTGGCTGGCCGTGGCGGGCAGCCAGAGTCCGGCGCAGGAAGGCGCGTCGGCAGCCCCGCACAGGGAACGTGGTGGCATCTGACGGGGTCACCCCAGCCCCCGGGCCCCGCCCTGAGGCCGCGCACCCCAGGACACAGCGGCAAGAGCGGCCCCCGGGGGCAGGGCCGGGGAGGGAAGGCGCCGGCTCGGGGGCAGTTCGGTGGCTTTTATTGGGCAGGGGGCGCCTGCGGGGGGCCGGGGGCCGGGGGCCCCGGGGCCTGCAGCCGGCACAGGGCATCCAGCTGCCTCCGCTTCTCCTTGGCGCGGGTGATGGCGGCGCGGAAGAGCCCGCAGAAGAGCTGCACGGAGGGGCCCGAGTCGTCGTTGCCGGGCACCGGGTAGGTGATGAGGCAGGGGTTGCAGTCGGTGTCCACCACGCCCACCGTGGGGATGTTCATCTTGGCCGCGTCCCGCACGGCCACGTGGGGCTCGAACACGTTGTTGAGCGTGTGCAGGAAGACGATGAGGTCGGGCAGGCGCACGCCGGGGCCCAGCAGCAGCGGGGCGTTGGTCAGCAGCCCGCCCTTGAAGTAGCGGGTGTGGGCGTACTCCCCGCAGGCCCGCGCCGTGCTCTCGATGAGGTGGCAGAACTGGCGCTGGCGGCCCACCAGCAGGATGATGCCCCCGCGGAAGGCCACGTGCGCCACCACGTTCAGGGCCAGCTGCAGGTGGGCGGCCGTCTGGTCCAGGTCGATGATGTCCTGACCCAGGCGGGTCCCGAAGATGTAGGGCTCCATAAACCTGCGGGCGCCCGGACACCTGTGAGCGGGGCTCCCCACCCTGGGCGCCCAGACCCCCGCACCCCGGCCGGGGG